TTTGAAAGGTGCAGTTGTCTACACAGAGGTAAATTCATGTTGACTCTGCCTCCATGGTTATCTTACTTCACTGTCACTTAGGAAGGCCTCATGGGGTTCACGTGTACACACCATCGTTGTCATTCCCGTTTGCTGGCATGCACAGTGATGCCCAGCGCAGCGCTAAAGCAAAAACAGCGCACTAGCTGCAGGCTCTCACCCCTGGCTCAGTGCTAATGTGGATTAACAAGACAACCCCTGAGGCTGTTATTTTCATTTTATAATGGTGGAAATTGAGTCCTAGGCTAATTTCTAAGCTGGTGATTTGTCTTCTCCATATAGTTTGTGCTTAATTTTAGCTGGTCAGTGTAAACACTCACATAATACATGTATGTGTATATGTATACATATACCCATATGTGTGTGTGTGTGTGTGTGCGCGCGCGCGTGCGCGCGCGCGTGTGCATACCTCAGTATATATGGCAGACTCAGGGCTTGCCTTTGTTGAATGGACATTCAGCAGCACTGGAGGACTTAATTGCTAGAGAAGCCAGTTTCAGGGACAGGAACTAGGGGAGTCCCAGGGAAACAGACCCAAGGACAGCGAGCTTTTTCGAAGCAACCAGTTCTTTATGCAGAGGCCCTCGCATATAGCTTTGGTTGGGGCTACAGCTTTGGTGTTGGTGAGCAGCATTTTGGCGTTGACCCAAAGCGGGGCATCCACATTGGCTCCCCATTTCAGTGGTCACCCCAGCTCTCAGAGCACTGTGTGCTCTTCCAGGATTGACTGAGCAGCTTTTATATGCCAGGCTCTGAGGTGAATGAGAGCAATGCAGTCTCCATCCTTACAGAGCATCATCTTAGCAGGGGAAACAAACAGGAACATGTAATGATAAAATTCATTAGCTACAACCTAGGGGAGCAGTAGAAGGGAAAAGCATATGGAAGTCCAAGAGCTTACAACAGGGGCCCGAGCTTGTCAGGGGCTCCAGGTCATGGTTTTGATTTGCTTGTTGAAGGATGAGACGATACCTAGGTGCGCTAGGTAGAGGAATTTGGGGTTGACTTGTGGGGAGGCCCTGAGGTGGGACACTGTAAGGCCAGTGCGAGGGATGGCTGGCATGGGAGAGCCTGAGTGACGGAGGTGATGAGGGCAGGGACCAGATCTTGTCAGACTGTACGCCCAGATGGATTTATGTCACATCCTCTTCCTCAGCTCTCATCTGCTTTCCACCCCACCCTACCACATCCCACCCCAAAGGCGGGGAAGTCAGACTGTCTCTCTTGCCTGTGAAATGGGCAACACACATGTAAGGAAGAGCCTGTCACCGGGGCGTAGAGCTGGGTTTTGTGGGTCCTGAAGTTTCTATGATTTAGGAGAAGAGACGATCTTAAAGAAAAAAAAAAAAGTAAAGTTACGAACACAAAGTTAAGTGCATGGGGCGTCAGTAGGAACCCTCAGCTGAAGTTCCATCAGTTTGGTGGTAAAGCCGCTGTTGGAGTTTGTACTTCATTTCTAACCTCCAAAAGCCTCCTTGTCTCTCCTGAGATATTCACGTGGTCCTCACATCCACAGCCTCCTGTTTTCTCTGTGTCCAATAAAGCACAAGTGTCTTCTATTGAAATCTCCTGGAAATTTGGCACTCTCCTCACCCCCAGTGGTGTCCAAAAGAACACGGGAATTTCCTCTTTTTGCCCAAGACTTCCATGAGTTTTTTCCCCCATGATCAAGGCAGGGAATGTTGGCTGGGACACTTTATTCTTTTGGAAATGGGACACAGGAATATGAATTTCCATAGGAAAAATTACTCCGTCTGGTCAGGTCTAGACTGTCCGTTGGCCAGCACGTTTGCTGGAGTCCACATTGGCAGGGTGAATAGCTGTCTGTGGAAGAGGAACAGATCACCTGGAACTGGGTTTGGGGGGCAGGGGCAGGGCTCACAAACATGAGCAGGGACGAGGAAGGAGTTTCATAGTGAATGACACAACTCAAAAAGTGGCAACGGCTCTTCTCTCTTCAATCCCAACGAAACCCTCAAAGCCATCTAACAATAGTGAAGTGTTCCTATTAGCCTGGAGCTCGGGGAGCCTGCTGTCCATAGATTGGAGACATCAAAGAAGTTGAGACCAATTGGAGGGAGGGACTGACAAGCTGGCCATGTACTACAGAGAGAAGAAAACTCTCTCCCAAAACACTGCTTCTGGTTCCCCAGCCAACCTCCACAGATAGGCCCTGCTCAGGCACACTCCACAGCCTTCTGGAAAGATCTTGGGTTTGGCACTCCGAGTTTAGGCCCCAGTACTGGGTGAGGCTTCGGCTGTCAAGATCCAGTCTTGGTTACAAAAAGGACACTGTGTCCCTGTTCACTGCTGGCTGCCCCACCAAGACACAGGAAAGGACCCCGTCAGCCCGGTCATGGTGCCCTCAGCCTGATAGTCTAATTGCCTTTGACTTTTCCCTTTGGAACTAAAAATTATATTATAATATGATCCTGTTGCTCAGGCAGACCCATCTCAGTTATAGATTTTCTTCTCCCCAAGACAGCAAACAGAGGGAAATGACCCGACTATAATAGAATTCTTTACTCAACTGGATTATTATTCACTCACATCTGAGGCCATTAAAGATATTCTCAGACAAAGATGGAAAGGACACCTACCATGTACCTTCTTGAAAAAAACTACTTGAAGCAGTACCTGAGCAGACTGAGAAATGAATCAAGTAAGGGGTGCACTCTGCAGGCAAGACCACCATTGATTCCGGGTTCCTTGAAGCTGGCGAAGGGCCCCTTACCATGCTGGGGAGCTGGCTTCTTGGGAGTAGAGGGCTTCAGGGGCTCATAGGAATAATTCCCGCGTTTCGGAAGAAAGGAGTTGGCTGTTATGTACTAATTTACCATTAAACCCTGTTCCGACCTTCTTGTCGTGTCTCCCTCACAGACGGTTTTTGAAAGGAATTGCCGTTCCGAGGACTGCGCTGCTGACCTGCAGCTTCATGGTCAGCTGTTGCTGTCTGGGTAAGTCCGCGCTCCTTTCAGAACATTGTTCTGGAAAGCTCCAGGCCCAAAGCCTGAACACACAGGTTCTCCCACACCCTTTCCTGAAAAGGCAATAGAGTTGGTGGGCTCCAATGATATTTTGAGGTTTAAAAAATATACATATTAGACATTAATTTTAACAACAGATACTATTTGTTGGGGGGGACAGTTTGGTTTTTGTTTTGTTTGCAATTCCACATATCTCACAATTTAGCCTATGTTTCTAATTTCTGTGAGTGTGTGTGTGTGTGTGTGTGTGTGTGTGTGTGTGTGTGTGTGTATGTGTGTATGTATGTATATGTGTGTGTGTAAATGAACAAGGGCTGTGCCCAGAGGACAGTCTCGGGCTGGGGAAGAAACATTAGCCCCTCCCTTGCTATCTTCTGAGACAGTTTAGAAAATCAAAGGCAAGGCGCTACTGCTGGAAGTTATACCTGGGGCCCCATTTAGGTGCTGTTCTTGCAGACAGGTGGGAAGAAGTGTCGCTGGCGTCCTCTCCAGTTTTAGGGCCGTCATTCTCACTCCTCATTGCCCGAGTGCATCTGGCTCAGCAGCTTTTAGAAACACAGCTTACATAGTTTTCTTTTTCTCTGGCAGCACCAGCCCATTTATTTGAACTTGTTGGTTCTGTTCTCTGCCTCTTGTGACTACTTAACAGCAACTTTTTAAACATAAATGAAATATACAACACAAAAGATTCCAGGGTGGAAATCAAGGGAGGGGATTTCCAGTCTTGGGAGGCCGAAGGTCCCTCGAGAGAGTTGACAGCTGATTTTTAAAGTTGGAGGTTGTAGAGGGAGATGAAATGTGTGGCCTGTAATAGACCACCCAATCCCAGTCCCTGGAAGGGGCACTGGGTGAGTCCTGAGGCCAGTGCGGTTTCAGGTGGCCCCGAGCTCGCTGAGCAGCTCAGCCTCCCACTCAATTCTTCCTGGGGTTGAACTGACTCTTTGAAGTGATTCCTTTAGACAGAGGGGACTACTCTACCAACTGCAGGGCCATGGAGTAAAACGATAGGATGCCCAAAGATGGAAGAACTCATTATTTCCGGTTTTTCCATAGGGGCGTGAGGCAAAATTGGTGCCGTGTTTGTGTTTAGAGGGAGACCAACAAGGCTGGTGGTTTTTTTTCTCTCTCATGATTTTAAAACCTAAAATGACAATTTGTACAGATCCTGAAATAGAGGGACTTTCTCGACTTTCATTTTACAAAGCATTTGTGTTTAATTTATTCTTATGGACATGATACTCTTTATTTTTTTTAATTTTTTTTTTATTGTTAGTTTCAGGTGTACAGAACAATGCAATAGTTACCCTTTTTCACCCTCACCAGGTAACAACCCCCCTCCCCCCATCTATTGCCCTCCCACCCCTGATATCATGCTTATCTATACTCTTTAGAAAGCAGCTGTGTCTGTGTGATCTGATTTTAAATACCAGGTAATGAGACGTTTCCTTTCCTCATTTGGGTACAGGGCTGAATAGAGCAGAAATTCCTGGGACCACCCTGGGCTCTTATAATGGGCCACATTAAGGGCAGTGTCGGATTCTGGAAGAAGAGCCTATTGAAACAGAATTGGGAAGGAGAAACCTCTTACCCTCAGATCATGGCACTTACACACACACAAATGTTAACACCCTGCTAGGTGCTGGGGTTGCAGACATGAATTACATATATCTGAGCCTCTGGGAACTCATGCGGAACTATGGCAGGAATAACAGTTCAGACGTGTCCCTGCCCACTCTCTACAAAGTTGTATGGCCCATCAGGAAATGTCTTACTCATTTTAGCTTAAAAATAGCTTCCTTGTTTGGCCCCTTTGGAGTGGGATTCAAAAAGCATTTATTCCCACCAATTCAATTGTTCTATTTTCTCAGGCCTCAGCATGGGACTTGGTTGCCATAACAACCCTATAAACAGTGTCTAACCTATGTCAATGATTATATATACTTTAAAGCTATTATCACCAAGCCCAAGAAACTGACCCTTCTCTGAAACTGACCCTCCTCTTAACATGAATAGGCTAATAATCCTACTTCCTATTAAGTCAGAAGGGAAGATTTTTTTAGTGCAGATTTAGGTCTGACAAATGGCTACCCCACGGCCTGAGCACCTGTGTATGACTTCGTCCCTCAAGTCAGCCTTGGCCAGGGCAGCCGTTGAGGTGCCAATGCTGAATCACATGTCCCCTGGCTTTGGATCACAGCATCGTGAGAAAAGCACAGCCCCCACCAGCCTCTGTGCTCTGGCTCACAATGAAATGTAACTTGGGCAGGAGTCACTGCAATTTTTTTTTTTCCTGGCCTGAAGGAATCAGGACATCAATAGCCAAATATTCAAGAATAGGATTCAGCAAACTACAGCCTATAGGCCAAATCCAGCCTGCTGCCTGTTTTTCTAAATAAAGTTTTATTGAGACATAGCCACACCCTTTCCTTTACATGTTGTCCATGGCAGCTTTCCCTCTACATCAGCAGATTGAGTAGTTGCAACAGAGAAGATATGGCCCACAAAGTAAAAAATATTTACTATCTCGCCCTTTACAGAAAATGTCGGCCAACCCTGTTCCAAAAGTAGAATAAGGATTTGGGGGAAAGCTGGAGAAAGGATTTTTAAAAAACCAACACACCTGTATTCTCCAGGAAAACATGAGGTGAAGACCAGAGTGAGGAAGGGGCCAGCATGGAAATCTAGTCCATGAGGCTAAGGAGGCCGCTGGGTGTCCAGTCTGCAACTCTCTGAAGACTGAGGCAGGAAACTGTTGTTTCCTAGGAAAAAGGGCTTAGCCTCCTATAACCAGTGAGGAATAAGAGATGATGGCTTCCTTAGAGCTGTCTCCATTTTCCAGAAAAGCTTCTTCTTCTGCGTTTCCCCGAAAATAAGACCGGGTCTTATATTAATTTTTGCTCCAACAATCTACATTTATTCATTGCTTCATGTACAAAAATCTACATTTATTCAAACAGTCATGTCTGGCTGACGATCTTAGCTGGGGCTTCTGTTTGGGGTAGGGCTTATATTACGAGCATCCTGAAAAATCATGCTAGGGCTTATTTTCTAGTTAGGTCTTATTTTCGGGGAAACATGGTAGGTGAAAATAATTGATGAGGGCTTTGCCAACCAGCATGTAGAGGCTGGAGGGAGAAAGGAGAGACTGCCCAGAAGACTGGGGAGATGTGGGTAGAAGCAGGTGGAGGAGTCTTTCAGAGGCTCAGGTTGGAGCTGTTAGGGTTGTTCTGAGTGGAATATCAGGAGACTGGCCCACTGGCTTCACGGAGAACCTGCACTCTTGGTACTTTGTATAAGAGAAGTAGTTTCTACACGCTCCTGGAAACGCTGTGTTGCCACTTAGCATTCTGAGGCTTCCGTCTGCCCACACTTCTGCCCCAGGAGATGCTTTTCAATTCCTTAGGAAACAAAATAGTCATCTGCCCAGAGAGACAAGCCCAGGTCCAGGGCATAGGAACTGAGTGTCAACTTCAGCCTCCCAAGGTCATGACACAGGTCTGTCGATTCCCTGGTGTCATGCTGTTTTACCTATAAGACAACTGCATTCCTGGCCTGGGGGGAGTCTTGCCTAAGCCCAGGCTTTGCCAGGCTTGGAACATGCAGCACTTGCTTGTTCGTACCATTGCCCAAGTTAGGGAAAGCCATTAGGTTGCGAGTATTCCAACAACGTATTGCTGCATAACAACCCCCCTCCGCCAAACTTGGTGGCTGAAAATAACAACAGTCATTTAGTCTGTTCATAATTTGAAATAGACGGAGTTTGGTTGAAAGAGCTCATCTCTGCTCCACTAGTGTCAGCTGGGGCAGCTCAGTGGGGTTGGAGGACACATTTCCATGATGGCGCGCTCATGTGGTTGCAGGTTGGTTCTGGCTGTCAGTGTCTCTCCACGTGAGCCTGTCCACGGGAAGCTTGGGCTTCCTTGAAGCATCGTGGCTCTGTCCCAAGAGCAAATGCCCCAGGAGGACTTGTAGGAACTTCCTCTATTGCTTTTTATGACTTAGCCTCAGAAGTCACTTCTACTGCAGCCACAAATCCACCCAGATTTGGAGGCAGAGTGGGATGGCGGGGAGCATGGATTCTACCTCTCTGTGGGAGGAGT